GCAGACTGATGTGCTGAAGATAAATGGAACAATGCAGCAAGGTTACTGTTCACACCCCCTAATCATGTCCAGTTCAGTTTCATCAAGTTGCTAAGAAGTTCCTTTGTTTGGTTTTCAACGTAATTCTCATGTTCATTGATGTAAAGTGTTGCATCTAAATATATGATTTGGCTTTAATTGTATCCATGTAACTTGCTCCTTGCTTTTAAGGGGTTTATATCATTAGTCAAATGTATTATATAAATACTGTATATGATTGGTATTGTTTTGCACAAAAGCATTCCAGAATTGATAAAAAAACATATGGAAAATCAATGGTAAAATCTGAGCATCATCTCATGCTCAATTTATGTTATTTTCTTCTTCTTTTGCATGTTTCTCAAATATTATCTCGAGTTTTATGTTAATTTAAATCAGTTTTTCCCAACTGATGTTTCAGTTATTGATCTCTGATCTAAACCTTGCACAGGTAGTTGTAGACAGTGCAAGGATCATTGTTAATAGCCTTTCCTTTTTTCCTAAATCCCTCCCCACCTGACTAAGTTCTAATTTAATTGTATGCTTTGATGAAAGAGTTAACTATATCTTACTGCATCAGTTGTTGTTGCTAATAGCTAACTTTTGTCGAAACAAATTATGATTTACTGCACAAATTGAAACTTCTTCTAAGTTGCCTTACAACTCACCTTTGCAGGTGCAAAATACCAACTAGTAAAGTATGTTTTGAGTGAGCTAACCAACATGATAAAAGATGGTTGAAAATCATGCATGTGAGATTGAACATAGATCATGTACATTATGACTCCTTTTTTGTCTCCAAAATCTGTTGTATATTCCTAAAGAAGGTTATTTACAAAAGCTGTTTCAAACTGCATCCTAGGTAGCGAAGAAAGGTGGATATCCGGAAGCAAATAGCCTACTTTGGAGTTTGGATTTCCCATTAAAAATTGTAGATAAACATGAATTAGAAGTACTGTCCAACCAAAAGAAAGAATGTAATCTAGTGAAGAATGACAGCTAGGAAGAAGCAGAAACGTCTGTCCAAGTCAACTCTTTCTAAGAATGATAAGATATTGCCTTGCTTTCCCAGACTGTCTTTTTGAGTGTTCAGTGTTCAAAGGTGCTATGAGTTTGATGTCTCTCCATGGAAGGGTTCCCTGATTCTGCTACTTACAGAGCGTTGGCGACCCAAAGAAAAATTCTTCTATACTTTCTCTTTGAGGGCACTTTCCCCTGCTTGTCTTGTTTCTTTATTTGCTTCCCAGATTAGCTGGAGCAGTGAGACTTCTTAGCCCCACGGGAGGCCTACATTGAAAGACCAAACAATTAAAGATAGCGATTGTTACAACCTAGCTTATTTACAATCTAAAACAGGCAAAATGAAATCAACTAAGATAGCAGGCCATGTATACTAGACTCCAATTGATTGAATTAATCAGGAAAAAGGGCAAAAAAGATAGCTAGAAGCACTTACATGTTTAGTGAAACCAGAATGAATGCAGGTCATTCAATAATGACAAAGTCTTTTGCAGAGTCCTCTTTATTGCTCTGAGAACCATGATATCTTTTCCTAAGACCTTAGATTATTTTAATATTAAGTATGCTTCAGTTTCTTTGATTAAAATTTGGGCAGCAAACAGGAGGAAGAAATAGAGAAACCAAAATCATTTATACGAACACAACTTTGGTTATTGAAGAAGTTCAGGATGGATGGTCTCATCCACCATCCAGTGCAGAATTAAAATCAGCGATTAACAACAAATTAAATAACTATCAGCAGGGACAAAAAATAGAGAAGCATGTAATGGAAGTAGATATTGTTAGGCCAAAGAGTTGAAGTTTAGCACTTAATTAATTACACTGTAAGTATTGGTAATTACTAATTTTAAAGTAAAAGAACAGCATAAACGGAGGGATTGGGCCAACATA